TCTCAAGAAGCCCTGGTGGTGCACGGGTTAAGCACTTGGCTGTTAACTGAAAGGTTAGTGCCTCAACCTCATCAGCGTTTCTATGGGAGAAAAGACCTAAGGATCTGCTCCTGTAAAGATTTCAGCCTAGGAAACCCTGAAGGGCAGTTCTACTCTGTCCTGTAGGGTTGCTAAGTCGGAATCAACTTGACGGCTCACAACAATAACAAACTCCTCATATATGCTTTAGAGTTACTTTGCAGTCAATTTGAGTCATTTTGAATTTAGAGTCAATTTGATCTCATAAATAATTCTTTAAAGGAGCACAATGCCCAAGGTGAACTTTTTTTTTTTTTTTTTTTACTAATTCAGCTAAACTGTTATGTAGTGTAAAGAAGACTTTAGAAGATAGTTTCAGTTCAAGGTTTAAAGATTTTCTCAGGGCAATAGGTTTGGGGGTTCCTCCAGTCTCGGTGGGTGCCTGGACTACTCTTATCTCCGGTATTTGTAGATGGGTTCCTTCTCATCACTTAAGGCTCAGCTCAAAAGTTCCCTTTTCAGAGGCTTTCCCTTACCACCCTGACTAAAAGCAGGTCCCCCAACTACTCTCTAGCACATCATCCTGTTTTATTTCTTCACAACACTTATGGGTTATGAATGTCCGACTTACAGACAACTCATACTTGCCCTTTAATGCTATGTAAATTTGCCCTCACTTTGAAACCACTGAGCCAACCCCTACTAGCAACGAAGTCTTCATCACAATCACCTTCACTTGCTGCACATGCAGCTTTTGAATCCTTGAAAAGGCTTCCCGCCTTTTCTTGCCCTAATGTAAGGCTAAATTAGATCGTATCCCGACTTACTTGCAAATTCGACTTAAAATACAGTTAGGAACCGATCTCGTTTGTAACCGGGGGACTACCTGTACTCAAAAGTCTTGTTCTTTAATCTACTTATTTATTATCACCAAGTTGACTCCAACTCATGGCAACTCTGTGTGTGTCAGAATAGAACTGTGCTCCGTAGGGTTTTCAATGGATGATTTTTTGGAAATAGATCACCAGGCCTTTCTTCTGAGGCATCTGTGTGTGAACTCAAACCACCAACCTTACAGTAAGCAGCAAGCTCATTAACTGTTTGTACCACTTGCTTATTTATTGTCTATCTCCCCCAAGTAGGGACCTTGTCTATCCTGTTCACTGCTACATCTTAAGCCAAAATAGTTCCCAGCAACCTGTAGATGAACAATAATTACATGATGAATAAATAACCTTGGTTCAAATTTAACATCTCTGAACAAATGCTCAAGTTTAATAACCTGAGTGTTTTATGTATTTATTCAGTTACATTTCTTTAAACAAAGTATGTGAAGGAAAAGCATTTTATTGACTTCTGAAATCCTATTTCCTCTCCCTTTAAAATATCATGGCTAGGATGGTTAAGTATTCTGTAAACATCACATAGACACAGAAATGAAAAAAGAAGTAGTGTTTGTTCTATGCCCAAAACTGGGAGAAGTCATTTCCAAATCCTAAATTGGCACTGGGGATCTCTATTTTTACCCTCAACAAATGGAAAATACCTACAGGAAGTCTCTGGGTTACAAACGAGACCCGTTCCTGTGTCTTTAAGTCGAATTTGCAAGGTGCATACAGTTCTTATTCAGCCTTACTTTAGTGCAAGAAAAGGCTCAAAGCCTTTTCAATGAATTTAAAAACTGCACGTGCAGCAAGTGAAGGTGATTGTGATGAAGAACTTGTTGCCAGTAGGGGTTGGTTCAATGGTTTCAAAGTGAGGGCAAATTTACACAGCATTAAAGGGCAAGTATGAGTTGTCCAAGGTGTCCGTAAGTCAGACGTTCGTAATCCTAGGACTGCCTTACTTTATATGTAGAACTGTTGGAGATTTAAATTTTTAAAGTTATTTCTTTATGTTAATATTGTGATTTCTTATTGACTTAAGAAATAAGGGTAGGCTAAATCTGCATTGATGCTAAAACCACGTAGCTGCTGATAATAGATTCATACAAATACACTGTTTTTAGAGTAGGCTATTCATCCATTCAACATACATATGCGTTAAGCACATTTTAGGCAGTGTACTAAGGATGTAGAATTAATTTCTACCCAGGGAGCTGGCCAACTAGCCTGGGCAGAAACTGAGTAGTAAATCAATATTTTGCCCAATATTTGGATAGATGACAATTCTAATATAGTGCCACAACCAATGTATGCAGACTAACATGGGAGAAGAGACAAGGCTACTAATGGAGCTGGAGGGATCACGAAGTTTACAGGTGGTACTGTGATACCTGGAATGAGTCCTGAAGATATTTAAATAGTAGGTAAAAGACGCAGAGTAAGGGAGTTCCAAACAAAGAAAATTTCAAGTGTAAAGGCATGTTGGCTTGAGCAAATGCGCACACGTATCAGTGCCACAAGAACAAACAGTGAGGGATGGCTGAAGAGATGAGGCTGAAAAGGTGTGCAGGATGTAGATAATGGAGTGTATCCTATATACTATCCTAAGGAATTCAGATTTTATCCTATAGGGCAGTGGTTCTCAAAACAAGGTCGACAGAACCCTGAGGACTCATGCATGTATCCCAGAGGCTATGAGATTTCTCTAAGAAAAACTTCCCATTTTCAGTTTGATAAAAATCTGGAAAAAAAAAAAAAAGATACTGTGGATCATTTGAATGACCACCATATAATTGTGTACTGCCACAAGATTTCAGTCACACATTTGTGTTTAGAAGTGTCCTGGCAAACAAGTGATACCATTTTTATTGAAGCAGGTTAATGAGAAAGAAAAGGAGACTATTATACGTAAATGATGTTGTTTGACAAGTGAAGGTCAAATGAAATCATGACACATTTAACAAAGGAAGGTTTTGCAGTCGTTTAAACAGAGAAGAGGTGAGAGCATTGAGTAATCTCTCAACACAAGGCAATACCTACTGGCCTTACTCTGAGGAAGGTATTCCAGGAGGACAGTATAGATCCACTTTTTAAGCTCTTAAGGTCCAGTAAAACAGTCTCATTGGTCACAATGAATAAGCATTCATTTGAATTTTATTGATCTTATATAGTTTTGCTTCATTTAATTTATAAATATTTGGGTGTTACAGTCGTGTAAAAGCTACAACATAAGGCGTTTATACCTAGTTTTATATTTGCATATATTTACCATAAAGAACATAGTGTAAGTTAACAATGGAGGATCCTGGGTACCTACTCGGGTTTGAATAAACTGCAACGGGTGATTGGGAGCCACTGAAAGATTTTAACAGGGAAATGATAGATTTGTGCTTTAGAAAAATCACTCTGGCAGCAGTGTGGAGGGTTGGAATTGAAAGTACCGAAGACAGACAGAAAGAATAGTTAGGTGGCTACTTAAACAATTTGATAAAATGACGAGGCCCTACACTACTCAGGGGAAATGGAGACGAGATGGATAAGAGCTAGAACCAAAAGAACTCCAGTGTGGGTGAGAGTAGGACGGAATCCAGGATGACTCTCCCGTGGGTGACTAGGTGGTGAGATACAAACCACAAAAGACAAACAAGTTGGGGTGGAGGGGAAGGAGAAAAGAGATGATTAATTCAATCCAGTAATGATTTGAATTTCATTTCAACCAAAGAAAATCAAGTTGTCTTTTCTGGGTCCCAGTTTTCTCAGTGACAGCTACATTTATGAACTACCAAATTGACTCTTAGAGGCTGTCTAAAAATATACAAAGCACTCCACTGTACGCTGTAAATAAGTCATGAAAAATCAGCAAAAGCCCAGGTCCTGAAAGAAATTCAGCAGGGTTAAAAGGAGATATGGCAAATTGTTACTGAGCACTTAAATTGTGACCAGACGCACTAACCCAGTATTGTACTTTCTGCTCTGCCAGTCAGATGCGACCACGATCACTCAAATTTTCGCTGGACACCTATGAACCGGAGGTAACATGCCAAGTCCTCGTGGGAAAGGCAAGACGTCTCTTCAAGGGACTTGCAGCAAAGCAATGGATCACATCTGGTGCAAGATTACTGAAAATTTAGCGTGCTGACAACTTTGAACCTACAGGCAGAGCTAGTTAACAAAGTATACATTATCTTCTATTTAGAAGAATCAAAGTGGAGTATCTTAGGCAGTCCAATAAGAATGTAAACATTTCATATTTTATTCCCTATAAGGAAAACTATGGAGGCGAGAGAAAGGAAAATGCAACGATTGTCGCAAAACCAGCCCGCGTTCCCGCAGGCCACAGAAGGGCGCGGAGAGGGGCGAGGGGATTGCACTGGGAAAAAGTAATTCAATCCTAGTTTGGTGGGAAAGCCAGCATCTTCCATCACTAACTCATAATTCAAAAGCATAGTTTGTAGACCCAAAATGTTTAACCCTTAACGGTAATGTCCAACGTGTGGCTGAAGGGAAAGCCATGTGGCGTACCTTTAGCACAAGACGCTGCTTTGGGGGTCGCATTCGATACAGCACCCCCCGACGCCCCGCCCGGGCCTCCCTGAATGAAGGTCGGGGCCTGAGAGGCGTAGGGAGAATCGGGGAAGCGAGGGACGGATCTCTGAGAGCAGGCTACACTCGGAAAACTGAGAACAGTAGATGGCAGCACAGCGCTCCCAGACTTCCCCCCAGCGCCCTCGTGCAGACCCGGAAAGGCGCGCCAGCCCGACAGCGCAGCCTCCTTTCCAACGGAGAAGGCGGGGAGGGGGCGGGGTCCCAGCCGGTTGAAGGCGGGGCCACGAGCTGAGGACGAGGCCGCGAGGCGGGGACCGGACGGAGGCGGGCCTAGAGGCGGGACCGCGGAGGGTTGGAGGCGGGGCCAAAGCGAGCCCTCGCTCCCCCACTGCTTTGTGGGAATTGTAGTTCTGACAAGAAACCAGGCTAGCTCAGTGGTCACTACGAACTACATTTCCCGGTGAGGGATCGGCTCTGGCAGGCCGCGTGGTAAGAGATGAGTCGCCTTGTCCGCGGCCTGGTCCGGAGTCGGCGAGTGTTGAAACTGCAACAGGAGCAGGCCGGGAAGGGAGTGTTTTTTCCTTCCCTCGTCTCCGCGGTTGGCGGCAGCTGGGCTGCAGACGAGAGGGCGGTGCCGACTCAGCCTTCTGTCGCCCGGCTTCCGTGCATCCGCGGCCGGCTCCGCGTGTCAGCTTTTCCTGGGCCCTGCAGGGAGCTGGGGCCTTGAGGTTCAAAGGTAGCAGCCGCTCCCATGAGCAAGAGTGAGGGGCGCGCCGCCGCCGGATCCTCCATGGGCTGGACCCGGAAGCCCAACGTGTGCCGCCAGCTGAGTCGCCGGGCGCTGGGCTGCTTTTCACGCGACGCGGGCGTGGTACAGAGGACGAACCTGGGCATCCTCCGGTTGCTTGTGTGCCAGGTGACCCCCTGCTGGCCGGGAGCAAAACAAGGGGCAGCGGGACACAACTGGTCCCGCCTCCTGTTGGGGTGCAGTTTTAACGCACTAAGGCCCCTTTGTAAGATACTCGCATGTGATGGGGAGGGAGATACATTCCCTGAACCCGGGTGATTAGTAAATAGCTATTAATAGGGCTCCAGATGCTTTCAGTTTTAAGTTCTTATGCCTTCTTGCAAACAGTATTTCTAAAAGTTGGTCGCCCCCCTTAAATTGTAAACGCAGTGTGAGAAAGAATCGAAAATAACGTTAAGTAATGTAAGTGGAATTATTTCGTAAATTGTAAATTTAGCTATCCAACTTAAAATTGGTGCACAGTAGAGACTTATAAGTTCTTTTTTAAACCTGAATACATTGTGTCTTTCAGGAAAGTACTAAGTTTAAGAATGTTTGGACAACTCATTCCAAGTCACCTATAGCCTATGAGAGAGGAAGAATATATTTTGACAATTATCGCTGCTGTGTTAGCAGGTAACTTTTTGGTGAAATTTTTTTATATAATGCCCCTCATTTTTTATCTTAACTCTAATGTTTATAGAACCACATGTCCACATCAGTGTAAGTTTACTATTTCTGTCTTATGCTAGTTCAAATCTACTGTTGAGCCCCTCTAGTGAATTTTTCATTTCAGTTATTGTACTTTTTACCTCTAGAATTTCCATTTGGTTCTTTTTTAATCATTTCTGTTTCTTTATTGATATTTTCTACTTTTGATGAGACATTGTCATACCTTCCTTTACTTCTTTAATTATGAGTCAGAATTGACTCGACAGCAACAAGTTTTAGTTCTTTGAGCATATTCATAATGGCTACTTTGAAGTCTTTGTTAAATCCTACATCTGGTTGCTCTTACAGGCAGTTTCTACTGCCTACTTTATTTCTGGTGTATGGGTTAGACTTTACTGTTTCTTTGCATGTCTCATAATATTTTGTTGGAAGCTGGACATTTTAGATAATATTTTGTAGCAACTCTGGGTACAAGTCCCCACCCCCTGGAGCTTGTTATTGTTATTTTCTTGTTTATTTGTTTAGTGACTGGCTAGATTATTTTAGTGAAGTCTGTCCCATCTCTATGCCTACCAGAAGTGTTAAACCTCTGATGTTGCTCTTCTGGGTGCACAGTCTTGTGTATACTCACAGTTACCCTGGGATGACAGTGGTTTTAGCAGGGCTCTCTTTGTCTGTTTCCCTGACTATACCCATCATTAATTTCCACTGATTACTAGATAATTGTCTTACTCATTTTAACAATACTCTGAGGTATAAATCAATCCACAGTCTAATTCAATCAAATTTTGGCAGTTTTAAAGGGATAGATTTTTAGGTTAGTGTTTGAGGTTTTGCCTCCAAGAGGGCTCCTCCCAACTGTCTCTTTCCATATTTCTCTCCAGAAAACTACTTGGCCTACACTTTAATGTGTGTGTCTGTGTGTATGTGTATATATATCCAATTAATCTACCAGTCGCCTCCAAATTGCCTTTCCCCCCAACCTCCACTATTTTTGAGCATGTTCTTAGGCTTGAACTTGTTCGCTCTTCATTACAAATGAAGCAACTTCCTCTGGGAAGAGACTAGGAGCTGTCTGCTTTATAGCCTGCTTCTCCCCCCAGGCAACTGAGCGAAGGCTCTGGGGCTGAGGATAGGGTCAATGGCACACTTCTCTGGAGTGACTCCCCCATTCTAGGAGCTGAGCTTTAGGTGGAGATGAGGGAATATCAGGTCTTCTCAGCTTTCCTCTCTCAGCGTGGGAGATGCCCTATGAGCCAGGACAAGGATGATGAGTGGGGGCTAGGCAGGAGAAGAGAGCCTCCACCTCTTGACCGCATTAGCTTGGAACTTAGCCTCAGTAGCAGATACGTGGGGCACGATGAAAAATTCTGTCATCCTTCCCCTCCTAGGAAGATAGCCCTCTAACTGGGAGCTGGGGGAAGAAGGAACCTGGTGTTCTTGGTTATACCAGTCTATAGTGGAGTTTCTGTCTCACTGAGCTGGTAGCTAGGAATGGGGAGGAAGGGAGAACAACAAACACCAAGACTCTCACCATTCTTACCACGCTCCACTAAATTTTCTTGAATAAGTGTTTCTTCATTTACCTATGCCGCCAGGACCATTTCCAGAGATTTTAGATGGTAGTCCTTTGATAATTTCCATATTTCACTAGGGAGTGTGTCTGCAGAGCTTCTCGCACTGTCATGCTGAAAGTAGAAACCTGGGCATTTTCTTAACATGACCATATTGTCGTTATCACACCCAGCAAAATTAGCAATAATTCTTTGGTATCGTTTAATGCCTAATTCATAACTTGTCCAATTTGGAGGTGCCCATTTTAATTAAAAACTTTTTTTAATCAGAGTGAGTTGTATTGATTGGTGATCTAATGGTGAACAGTAAATAGTGTTAAAATGCACCCCCCTCCCCAATTTAGACTTAACTCTTAATCTTTCACAGGAACTAAAAACTCATGATACAGACAGTTTTGGGAAAAGTTTAACTAACTAGATAAACCATAACTAGCCTGTAGACTACAGACACAAACACTTAATAAACCAATTCAAGCCACGTCCTGCTGATCGAATGACAACCAATCATTTTAATTTATCTTTGGGGAAATCCCCTAACAGTTTGTACTGTGCATAAGCTAATCAAAATTGTATTGTGATGAGTTCATCTCTTCGGAGGGGTTGTGCTCTGTTCTTGAACAGTTTTTTCCACCCAATAAAACCTTTTAATCAAGTTGACTTATTGATTAGATTTTTTCTTCCCACAAAAGCATCTAATGTTGATCTTCTTTAACACGCCATCCAGAGGTGTTTATCCCAAAGGTTAGAATTACATTGAGGTTGCTTTAATTCCTGTGAAATTCTGTTTGGTTTAAACCTGTGAGTCAGTGAAAGAATAGAATCGTCAGCCTGAAAATAGTGTCTCTTTAACAGTAGCTTTATTTTCAAAATTCAGCAGCTTAAAAAATGCAAAGTGGTTAAGAGCTCAGCTGCTAACCAAAAGGTCGGCAGTTTCAGTCCACCAGCTACTGCTTGGAAACCCCATGAGGCAGTTCTGTTCTGTCCTATAGGGTTGCTATAAGTCGGAATCACCTCGATGGCGGTGGGTTTAGTTTGGTTTATGATCACATTTCAGTAGTAATCAAAGAAGTACAAACTAAAAATAAGATATTGTTTTTCACATTCAAAGTATATTAGAAAGGTAGTGCTCAGTATTGGCAAATGTATAAACTTGTTCAACCTTTCTAGAAGGCAATTTGGGAGTGAAAAAAACCTTAAAGATTTTTTATTTTTTTGTATTCAGTAATTTTCATTCTAAAACATTGGGCCCCTTTTCCACAAATTTTCATTTAAAGTATTGGAACAATAACATGAAGTCCATGAAATTCAACAGAGATATTCATATTAAATTTTTAGAGGTGTAGGAAGAATTCAGTTATGATCCAATTTTGGAAAATGTTCAGGTAGGAATATGCATATGATGAAAAACTAGAAGGAAATGCACCAAGATGTCAATAAGTGGTTATTTTTGGTAGTTTTATAGTATTATAAACTATTTTAATATATTATGTTTTCAGGTGCTTTTTCCCCCATGGTCCCAAAAAAACCCATTGCTGTCAAGTCAATTCTGACTCATAGTGACCCTATGACAAAGTAGAACTGCCCCATAGAGTTTCCAAGGAGCACCTGTTAGATTCGAACTGCAGACCTTTTGCTTGGCAGTCATAGGTCTTAACCACTACACCACCAGGGTTTCCTCCCCCATGATATGTAATATAAATTATGTGATAGGGAAGAAATGTTAGCATTTAGTTAAGAAGAGGAAAGCAAAATAACAAATCATGTTTTGGTATTCAAAAATCTCTAAATAGAAAAAAATCACTTACACCTTGATAACGCTGTCTGAGTTATCAAGAAGAATAATCCTTTGTTTTCCTTTTTTCCCTAGTGTTGCATCAGAGCCGAGAAAACTTTATGAAATGCCAAAATGTTCCAAATCAGAAAAAATAGAGGATGCTTTATTATGGGAATGCCCAGTGGTAAGATTTGCTTCTAGAGCATTTGTTTCTAGAGCAGTTTTAGCCTAGAAAAGCTGGTGATTATTAATAAAGTCTATATAAAGGAATAAAACGTAAATATCAGTGATTTCTGAATCTTTGCAAGGAATCAAGAAGAGTGTATCTTGATTTTCATTATTCCTCAGTAAATAATTTCTATCTTAAGGAATTATATGTCAACATTATAAATGTATTTTGAAAATTAGATGCCATTTTTAAATCTTGAATACTAAAGTATTTATTTAGGACAATAGTTGTGTTACATGGCTCTTTGAAAGTGGATTCTTAACGAGCTTCCTCTACAAATCTTGTTAGGAAAATAATAGGATAAGCTCATCCCATCAGAGTGTCATTGTCCTAGTTTGTATTTTTCAGTACACTGTTTTCATGGGATGTTAGTAAGTATATAGTTGCCAGAGGAGTTGGGAAGAATCAAGGGGCTGTGGAAAAATAAATTTAGGACCTGCTGAATTTTAAAAGTTAAGCAAGTTTATTATAGAATAATACTTCTCTGAGCCTTTAATACACTAATGTGCATGGCGACTGTCAAACTATCTTGTCCAGACTATTTCAATCATAGAACTTCCATTTATGAGGAATATTAGTTTTCCATGGGATTGCTATTCTAAGAAATGCACTTAAGAAGTACTACAACGAATTATTCAGGCCTCTGAATCTGGCTGGTTGGTCTTTAGGAAATATAGAACGTCGTAACATGTGGCCAAAATAATATGTTAAAGATAAAAGGCTATACTTTGAATTTACTATTAAAAAAAAAATTTTTTTTTAAGGCTGTTGTTTTCACATAAAATTATAGTCTTCTGGATCTGCTGCTTCTGTTTTCCCTGGACACAAATTCTCTGTTCATAGAAGGCTCCTTTTTAAATATTAGAAAACTTGAAATCTATTTTCTTCCCCAACCCCCTACTGGAAGCTGCAGATAACTTTTGTGCCCTCAACAGTTTAAAACCTTTTAATCCATTTTAATTAAGGGAGGAAATGACAGATTTCTTAACTGAGAAAAGTTCTGAAGACACCAGTACAAAACACCAAAAATTCAGAGCAATCCTGCAAAAATAAGATTTCTAGTCACCTAATTCCTATGATCTCGTCTCTTTAAATATTTTGTTCTCTTTTGGAACAAACTAGGATTTTCCACTAAGAAAACCTTAAGCATGTTGTATTATTGTTAACATACTGATGTGAAACTGCTTTTAAATTGTTGTTGTTAGGTGCTGTCGAGTCAGTTGTGACTCCTAGTGACCTTATGTACGACAGAATGACACACTGCCCAGTTTTGCGCCGTCCTCACAATCGTTTCTATGCTCGAGCCCATCGTTGCAGCCACTGTGTCAATCCATCTCTATCAGGGTTTTCCTCTTTTTCACTAACCCTGTACTTTATAAAGCATGATGTCCTTCTCCAGGGGCTGGTCCCTTTTAATAACATGGCCAAAGTACATGAGACGAAGTCTTGCCATCCTCACTTTTTTTTTTTTTTTACATTTTTAAAGGCAGGTTTATTTGAAAGTGGGTCTTCTCTCAGAATTACTTACCACCTGCGATGGTTAATTGGACATCATTAATGCCAAGTGTGGTTTATAACTTTTTTTTTTAATTGTGCTTTAAGTGAAAGTTTACCGCTCAAGTTAGTTTCTCATACAAAAATTTATACACACATTGTTATGTGACCCTAGTTGCTCTCCCTATACTCCTCCTTTCCACCTCAGATTTCCCATGTCCATTCAACCAACTCCAGTCCCTTTCTGCCTTCTCACCTCACCTCTGAAAAGGAGCTGCCCATGTAGTCTCACATATCTACTTGAGCTAAGAAGGACACTCTTCACAAGTATCATTTTGTGTCCCATAGTCCAGTCTAATCTTTGTCTGAAGAGTTGACTTCGGGAATGATTTTAGTTTTGGGCTAACAGAGAGTCTGGGGGCCGTGTCTTCTGGGGTCCCTCCAGTCTCAGTCAGACCATTAAGTCTGGTCTTTTTACTAGAATTTGAGTTCTGCACCCTAGTTTTCTCCTGCTCCATCAGGGACTCTCTGTTGTATTTCCTGTTAGGGTGGTCATTGCTGGTAGCCGGGCACCAACTAGTTCTTCTGGTCTCAGGCTGATGCAGTCTCTGGTTTATGTGGCCCTTTCTGTCTCTTGGGCTAATATTTTCCTTGTGTCTTTGGTGTTCTTCATTCTCCTTTGCTCCAGATGGGTTGGGACCAGTGCATGCATCTTAGATGGCCGCTCGCTAGCTTTTAAGACCCTAGACGCCACTCACCAAAGTGGGATGCATAACATTTTCTTAATAAACTTTATTATGCCAGTTGACCTAGATGTCCCCTGAAAGCATGGTCCCCAGACCCCTACCCCTGCTACTATATCCCTTGAAGGATTTGGTTATATTGAGGAAACTTCTTAGCTTTTGGTTTAGTCCAGTTGTGCTGACTTCCCCTGTAGTGTGTGCTATCCTTCCCTTCACCTAAGGTAATTCCTGTTTACTGTCTAGTTAGTGAATAGCCCTCTCCCTCCTTTCCCACCCTCGTAACCATCAAAGAATGTTTTCTTCTGTGTTTAAACCTTTTCTTGAGTTCTTATAATAGTGGTCTCATACGATATTTGTCGTTTTGCAACTGACTTATTTCACTTAGTGTAATGCGTTCCAGATTAATCTTATGTTATGAGACGTTTCCCGTATTCATCGTTGTTCTTCATCGTTGCATAGTATTCCATTGTGTGTATATACAATAATTTGTTCATCCATTCGTCCGTTGATGGACACCTAAGTTCTTTCCATCTTTTTGGTATTATGAACAGTGTGCAGTGAACATGGGTGTGCATATATCTGTTCCTGTGACAACTCTTCGTTCTCTAAGATATATTCCAAGGAGATGGATTGGTGGATCATATGGTACTTCTATTTCTAGCTTTTTAAGGAAGTACCAAATCAATTTCCAAAGTGGTTGTACCATTTTTCATTCCCACCAGCAGTGTATAAGTGTTCCAGTCTCTCCACAACCTCTCCAGCATTTATTATTTTGTATTTTTTGGATTAATGCTAGCCTTGTTGGGGTGAGATGGTATCTCATTGCAGTTTTGATTTGCATTTCTCTAATGGCTAATGATCATGAGCATTTCCTCATGTATCTCTTAGCTGCCTGTCCATATACTTTGCCCATTTTTTAATTGGGTTATTTGTCTTTTTGTTGTTTAGGTTTTGCAGTATCTTGTAGATTTTACAAATTAGACCATGATCCATAGCCAAAAATTTTTTCCCAGTCTGTAGGTTGTCTTTTTCACTCTTTTGGTGAAGTCTTTTGATGAGCATAAGTGTTTGATTTTTAGGAGCTCCCAGTTACCTAGTTTCTCTTCTGGTATTTGTGCATTGTTAGTAAAGTTTTGTATTCTGTTTATGCCATGTTTTAGGGCTCTGTCATGGATTGAATTGTGTCCCCCCAAAATATCTGTCAACTTGGCTAGGTCATGATTCCCAGTATTATATGATTATCTACCATTTTGTGATCTCATGTGATTTCCCTGTGTGTTGTATATTCTACCACAATGATGTATTAAGATGGATTACTGGCAGTTATACTGATGAGGTCTACAAGATTAGATAGTATCTTAAGTTAGTCTCTTTTGAGATATAAGAGAGAAGCGAGCAGAGAGACAGGGAACCTCATAACCACCAAGAAAGCAGTGCCGGGAGCAGAGCATGTCCTTTTGACTTGGGGTTCCTGCATGGACAAGCTCCTAGTCCAAGAGAAGACTGATGACAAGGACCTTTCTCTGGAGCTGACAGAGAGAGAAGGCCTTCCCCTAGAGCCGGCACCCTGAATTTGGACTTGTAGCCTACTAGACTGTGAGAGAATAAATTTCTCTTTGTTAAAGCATCCACTTGTGGTATTTCTGTTATAGCAGTACTAGATGACTAAGACAGGCTCCTAGCTTTGTCCCTATTTTTTTTTCCATGATCTTTATTGTTTTAGATTTTATATTTAGGTCATTGATCCATTTTGGTTTAGTTTTTGTGCATGGTGTGAGGTATAGTCCTTTTTTTGCAGATGCATAGCCAGTTATGCCGGCACAATTTGTTAAAGAGACTATCTTTTCCCCATTTAAAGCACTTCGGGCCTTTGTCAAATATCAGCTGCTCATAGGTGGATGAATTTATGTCTGGATTCTCAATTCTGTTCCATTGGTCTGTGTATCTGTTGTTGTACCAGTACCAGGCTGTTTTGACTATCGTGGCAGTATAACAGGTTCTAAAATTAGGTAGTGTGAGGCCTCCCACTTTGTTCTTCTTCTTGAGTAATGCTTTACT